TGACGGACTTAAGTCCAAACAAATCCATATAGGGGGGTCTGGGCTCCAAATTTCCCAAAAGTTATCATTTAGACACAAAAAATAATACCATTTAAACACAAAAAAAGTAACATTTAAACATAAAAAATAGTAACATTCAATATTAATATTTTAAAAAAATAACAATGGTAACATGTTCAACAAAAATAATAACATACTTAATAAAAACAATAACATTCTTAACAATAATTATCTCTCTCAAATTCAAACACAAAAATAGTATCATTTAAACACAAAAATAGTATATTAAAAAAAAAATAGTAACATTGAATATTCATATTTAGAAAAATAATGGTAGTAACATACTCAACTAAAACAGTAACATGCTCAAAATAATAGTAATATAAACAGTAACATACTTAACAAAAACAGTAACGTGAACAATAATTAGATAGTTTTGATGGATAAATGAAACATTAAGATTTGTATGCATACGACATAGATATCTGACATGAAGAAAAGACACTTTGATCTATGAAGCACTAGAAAAAAAAAATAATAGAGAGACACTTACAGGTTCTAAAGGTCGTGGCATTTCTTGTGCTCCGACATTTGTCGTGCTTGACATGCAACTTTCATTGGATCAATTGCGCCCCTTAATGACCTTGGATCATGAAAACCACTATCATTCCATTCCATCCATTTGTTGTCTCTCTTCCAGCAACACCTTCAACTGGAANAATAGACTTTGAATCATCTGGAAATGAATCTAAAAGATAGAATTATTTTAAAAGATTCAGCTCACAACAACAGATTGAAATAAGAAGACAATGAGTTAAGCTAATGTATAAACTAAAAGCTGAAATCCTATTCTTTGATTATCTTGATAACTTCCATAAAGAAGTTAATGTTGTTACACAATACAAGTGGAAAACAGAAAAATCCACTATATCATCTAGTCACCCTCTAGTAGAAACCATAGTTATTGATCATGGTGGATCTGTAGTTGCCTCACCTTTCAAACTCTCCACTGATGAGTCTGAGAAAAAAATTGTTGAACAAAATAATTTTACTAACCAAAGCTTAATTACTATAGACAAATAGTTAGATAAAATTGAAAATAAAATTGATGAAATTAAACTGGGTATTAAATTAGAACAACCTCTAATTCACCTACCTAAAGACCGTAGTAAATTAGGAGTTAAAGATAGCCAAAACATTGAGAAAATTGAAAAGTTTATTTCTAAAATGAAGCTAAAAGAACCATCTTCCAAAAAGAAAGAAAGTCCTTCTCAAATTACTGTCATTAATCAAACTTCTAATGATTCATCAGATGTTTGCTCAGTAAGTTCATCTGATTCAGAGATTCCTTTAAAATCATCCAAATTGATGTCTCTGACATTGGCTACGGTGGTATTCTCCTTCAAAAACTTACTTCAGACCCCAAAAACAAATCGTTCGTTTTCACTCTGATATCTGGAATAAAGCACAAGCAAATTATAGTACTATTAAAAAAAAATTATATATTGTCCTATGTATCTCTAAATTCTAGGATGATATATTAAATCAAAAATTTCTAATTAGAGTTGATTGTAAATCTACAAAATATGTTTTGAAAAATGATGTATAAAACATTCCTAGTAAGTAGATTTTTGCCAGATGGCAATTTATTTTAAGTATTTTCGATTTTAACATCGAATATATTAATAGCAGTAATAACTGCATTCCTGATTTCCTAACCCGATAATTTTTGCAGGGATCCCATGGCGGACAGGAAACCTCCTAAGCCCAGTACCTCTTCCAAAGTCGAGAGAGAACAAAAATAAAAACAATTAGTCTTGCAAGCCCATTAGCCTTGCCAAGCCCACAAACATCCTCTATCCAAATTGTCAATCGTTACCAACCTCTTGGTAATCCTAGTCATATAAGGTCAGTAGTCCAGTCCATTTTAGTGGTTCCATCTACTTTCCTTCAGATGGCCCAACAAGGCCCAACCCAATTTGTTGGTCCATCTTCGACCATCAAAAATAACCAACTAGTTACCCCTAGTCAACTAGTTAATCCTTACCCAGTATCTAGTTTCTAACCAATTTTTGTAGCCTAAAAAGACCCTAAAGTTGATTATATTAAGAAAGGTGAACCTCAACCAGNTCTAACCAATTTTTGTAGCCTAAAAAGACCCTAAAGTTGATTATATTAAGAAAGGTGAACCTCAACCAGTATTCGTCATTGAACCAATCCATGCTCACATAAGCAACCTAAAAGATCTAATAAATGCATATCTCGAATCAGGATGGAACTTTATCCCATCTGACCCAGAGAAAACATTTAATTTTTACCAGGATATTTTGTTCTTTACCCAATCTATTTCTATCAAACTCATATTTGATAAGAAAGAACCCAGTAAAGTCATATNATATATATATATATATATATATATATATATATATATATATTTATATATATATATAAATGTTCTAGTTGCTGCTTGATTCAGATTTTGAGTTTGAATTTAAATTTGAATTGTTAATGAAATCTTTTGATCTGAAATTGAATTAATAGACCAATGATTTTGTCGTAATTTAAGCATCAGATTATGATATATTCGGTTTTCATAATAAATTGAATAATCTGTTACCATATCTATGTCAAAGATCTAACATATGACTTTTCATAATTGACCAAATTTAACACTGTTAGGGATATTTTTGAGATAAAAAAAAAAGTAGACTTAAGTCATTACACATAATTTTAAACATGAACTTAACCACTTATAAGTTTCCTTGTTGGACTTATCTCCAAACAAGTACATCTAAGGGGACTCACCTCCAATTTTCACTTGAAAGTATTGGTCCATTTGGTAAGGTTAATATAAAAAAAAAAAAAGAATAAAAAATGAGGGTGATAGATCTTTTATTTTTCAAGAATGAATCATTCTTTCTTTCCTTTATGTTTGTTAAGATCAAAAAAGTATTTTTTTTTTATTTTTTACATATTTTATCATTATATATGTATATAAAATTAATGTATACAATACATAATATGCAATTGATAAATATGATATATCTATATATCAAAAGATATATAAATAAAAAACAGATATTTCAACACACATAAATACATAATTAACTTTTCATCCACTTTTACTCCTAATTTTGGAGGGACTAATTTTTGTGAGTTGGAAGAAAAGCTCATCTATCCACTTTTTTATCTTTCTTATCTTCTTCCTTAACAAATATGATATTTTATCTTTTCCTCTACTTTTTTATTTTTTTATTTTTCTATAATACCAAACAAAGTATAAAATTTGAGACTATTCAAGCCATCAAAGCCCTACAAAATAAGATTATTGGTAGGCAGGAAGTGGAGTACCCAGCCCATAATGGAAGGCCCAACATAGCCCGAAGTTTTGGGGTTTAACTGCTCTACACCCTCCAGCCCAAAAGTCAGAGGGCTGTCTACCTGTAAATTATGCGATCCTCGCAAATCTTGAGACGCCGTCGTTTTAACATGATTACCTTCTTGCCTGGCAAGAAATTACTGCCTCAGTCAGCAGCTCAACTCTATTTGTTGAATCTTTAATTCAATTTTGGGGTTCAGAATCTTTTGAACTTTTTCTTGCGGAATCTTACCCTTGCCGCCCTCTCTCTCTCGCTCGATCAGACGCAACTCCTTCACAAGATAAAGCATGAGCAAAGGACCGGGCCTCTTCTCCGACTTCGGTAGAAAGGCCAAAGGTAAAGCTCTCTCTCTCTCTCTCTCTCTCT